TACAACTTGTAACTACCTGTAACTGCTGCAGTGAGAAATGGGTCAAGTTTCCTCTCAACTAGATCAAGGTATTTTTTTTCACGGAAATTAATTATCTAATTTTCCTTATTTATTTTAAAACTTACAACCTTTATATTATATATATGCATGATTAATACCATCTAGATACAATAAATCTTACAGAGTAGATCAGGAATATTGACATTAGACTTAAAAATTACAATAATTAAATGAATTATGTTGCTGCATATTCTGTTTTCTTTTCAGAAAGCATATTAGAATTTATCATTTACTATTTCAAGTCATTTTGAGCTGCAAATGTTTTTTTGAGAAGGGAAGTGGGGAGGTGGTGTAAGGATTTGTGACTTAAGGCAAGAAATTGCTTATCTGCTGATTCATATACAATAGAGTCTGTAAGGATTTTAATTATATTACTGCTTTTAAAGGTTTTAGCATGTTTTATTATTTTATTACAACCATACATTTAAGACACTGTTTGGAGAAAAGATTTCCAACACTGATGCCTGAGTATCTGTATGCTCTCTTTCTAAAAGAAGAAGGTACAGAGAGGAGGGAAAGGTGTCTGTCATGCACATACTTGAAACCACTGCACAGGCTCCTGAATGGTGTAAATACTTGGCTGTTTCACGGATTCTTGCTTTCAGATCTTCACAGGTAGCATTCATAAAGCTAACAATTACTTCAGCAAACACAGTGAGTAATCCAATCTTTTAGAGTAACTTTGGCTTTTTTTCTGCATGTCATCCTCACACAGCTTATGGTGTGTGTAATCCTTAAAGGTGAGGTTTCTCTTTCAGCCTTCCATAGTGCATTAAGTAGAAGTGAGGTACATCATAATAGAGATGGTCTAGAAAAAAAAAAAAAAAAAAAAAAAAAAGGACTGATTGTTCTCTAGTTTTGCCTTATCGCTAAAGTTAACCCCATCAGTTTGCTTTAATAATGTCAACAGCTGAAAGGCACACCAGGACTGTCATTTATCATGCAAAGTGCTGTTAACAAGATGATACATGTATGTATATGCAAAGAAAGCACTATCAGTTTGATAACAAATATTTAACAAGAAAAGACAAAATATAAGACAAAAGATAGGTGTTGTTAATATAATCACTTAGAGTGTGCAGTGATTGGTTGTTGCAAAGTACAGTTCACATGTATGCAAGGCAAATTTGAATACAAGGGTAGGGAATAGGTAATTTAATATTTAGCCTCATACCTTTCTGTAATCAAGTTTTGTTTACCAACAGCAGGCTTAAAATGTCTGTCACAGCAACTGAGCTGTGAGCACATGGGAATATCTTTGCTCAAATAGTTTGCGTACAGATGTTTGAGCCTGAAGAGACTTGCCATGTGTTTTGTAGCTAAGGAAGTGAGTAATCAGTGAAACTAGTATGGGTGGTATAGGAAAATCATGCACATGGGCTTGGCACAGTTGTGTGCTTGCTACATTCCATGAGATATTTCATAATGGAAACCCAATTGCTCCACTAACATAGGATAACTAAATTTTGTACATACACTGTGAAGCACCTAGCACAGTCACAAGACCATATTCTGTCCTTACACACTACTCCAGTAATTCTCAAGTTAATGAGAAAAGGGCAGAGAAAATTCCCCAGGGGTTGACATAAAACAGAGAGAAGAATATTCTGTTTAGCCTTGGCCTTGATGCGATCATTACTTAATCTTTATCACTTAAATTCTACAAGGTCAAAAGTGTAACTAGACTAGATGGTGATTAACTAATTAGAATGGTAGCTTGGCCTTGGGTTTAGTTAGCACCATACATTCCCATGACTCAGGAAGGATTTTTCAACCTGGTCATTTCAAATGCCTATTTGTTTTATGTGATATAGACAGAACAGTAATGTGAATGATCTGCCAAGAAACAGTAATAAACAGTTGTTGCTACTCTAAATGCTGTTTTATTCTTAATCTTTTTTTGATTTCTTTCTTTCTTTTCTTTTTTTTTTTTTTTTTTAAATTAAATACCTGCTTTAAATCCAGGTTCACATACACCATGTATGTTGCATTTTAATTTGAATGCCTAATAGTTTATTGAGCTACCACTTCCTCATTGCTTTTGGAAGATGAGGGGCCACTAATGCTAATCAGAGTAATTAATCTGAAAGTCATTTGTGAAGTCTTTGCTGTGTCTCTGAGTATTTGTGCCATGCTACAACCACATGAACAGGATCCCTGAAGAGTTTATGAATGGGTAGGATAGCGAAATTCAGAAAAAATGCAGAAGTGAAATTACAGCACAATGTGAATATGATTTCCTACAATCTTTTTGTCTGTGACTTCTCACAAGCATACAAGACTTTCACAATAACAACGCACACATATGTGTACTGCCATTTATGTTGCATATGGTAATAAGGGAGAGGGCTGTTTAAACAACAGAGAAAAATCCACATTTAATGGTTTATTAGTAAGTAAGTTATTCATATAAGTGCAGATCCTGAAATCATTCTTTCCATTTGTCCTACCACTTTTAAAGTAAGAGTCTTTAAAATTTCCCTAAGGAAATTCTTTTATTCTAGAGCAATTTTCAACTACAGTTAACTTTGAAGCAAACGAGATGCTGAAAGTCCAGAAAAACCAGTCAAAGGTGCTCTATTATCTAACTAATTTAGTGTCATTTTAACTTCAAATCCATGGTGGCTTAACCGGGAAAAAACTGCCATTTGGTGACATTGACTGTGTTCTATGTTAATAAGTTATCTAGTGGGTTACAGGTAGGCATCTGAAACTATATGTTTATTAAGTCTTGGGATGTACTAAGGACTAATATGCTGACTCAGTACTTCTAATAGTATGCAATTTCAGTTCAATTTCTTTATTTCTTTAAATATTTAGTATCTTAGAATGTAAGCCCCACCTCAGGAAGATGCATAATTGAACTACATAATGGATGTGGGCACACTGGCAAGGAGAGATAATAAGAAGAACCTTATATGGATAGAGTGATGTGCAGCTGTGTAGTTATTAAGCAATGGATTGATTAGTCACATCTGCTAGGAATCCATTATAGAAAGTAATTGAATAGCATGCCTGTGCTTTAAAAAAAAAAAAAAAGAAAAGAAAAGAAAAAGCAGGGCTAGTTATTTAAATGAAGGATAATCTGTTTGTTCTATCATTTTTATATTTATCTAAGATATGAAAAAAAGAAGGTCTGCGCCTAGAGGAATCCATCAGTTCATTTTTAAACAACCTTGAGATTTTTCCACCCATAGCATAACTTGCCTCATTTCTCAGTGACTGGAACAAATTAAGAAACATAGAATCATTAATATTGGGAAAAATCACTAAGAACATCTAGTCCAATTGCAAACCCATCATCACCGTGTCCCTCAGTGCCACAGTTCTTGAACAGCCCCAGGGATGGTGCTCCAACACCTCCCTGAGCAGCCTGTGCCAGTGCCTCACCACTCTTTTTGAGAAGAAATTTTTTGTCATGTCCAACCTGAACATCCCCTGGTGCCACTTCAGCCCTATTGCTATTAAATAAGAAAAGAAGCTGACCCCCCACCTCACCACAATTTCTTTTTTGGGAGTTGTAGAAAGTGATAAGGTCTCCCCTGAGCCTCCTCTTCTGCAGACCAAACAATCCCAATTCCCTCAGCCTTTTCCCATAAGACTTGTTCTCCAGACCCCTCACAGCTTCTCTGTGCCCTTCTCTGGACACACTCCAGGGCCTCAGTGCCTTTCTTGATCTGAACATAGTACTTGAGGTTCTGCCTCACCAGTACCGAGTACAGTGGGACCTCCCTAGTCCTGCTGACTACACTATTTGTGATACAATCAAGGATTCCATTGGCCATTTTGGAGAGTTCTCTCATGTCAGCCTTCAATCAACACCACAGAGATGGGATGGAGATCAGGAGGCTGGAAGATTCTTGTGAGGACTGCAGTCATTCTTATACAAGAAAATACAGTTTAATATTACGTTGCCATTTCTGTGTGGTCCCTAGACAGTGCACATTTTCAATAGGAAGGAGTAACTCATGCCTGGCTCCAGTGAAGCTCTGCTGACACAATTGGCATTGACTGGCAGAGAGGGAGATATCAGGCCCAGGGTCTCCTGTGCAGTGTTCATCAGCTGCTGCAGACCGGAATAGAAATGTGGCGGACCACACTGTTGTGGCCAAAGTGCCAAGGTGCTTCCAGCCCAGACTATCTCTGCCTATAAATAACAATTAATGTCATTAGGTAGTTACATTCTGCTTTCAAGTACCTGTGTACTTGTGTCACTAGTTAAACGCTATTTTGGTGCACAGAAAATGGACAACAATCTCACTTACATTTTGGCTTGAAGTAGAAGTGGTCCAAACAGAGCAAAGGATGTGGTTATGCCAGGTGCCAAGCCATTCTGTAGAGACAAACCACCTGCCCCCCCCCCCAAAACCTTGCAATCATACAGTGTAATGATTGCACTCAGAAAATTGTCTGCAACCCAAAGCCTAGGAAATACATTCCTTTCAGCTTTGCAATGCAGTCCTGCTATTTTGCTGCATCTAATCTATAGCATAAAGATTAGCATTCAGAGTGTGAAAAGCTCTTAAGTGTAAAATTATTGGACATTCTGCCCATTCCTGTATTCAGTGAATAGCTTTTAATGGTATGAAAACAAGTATCTGGCTCTTCTCTGTATAATCAAGAATAAGTGCCTACTCAGAGCCTAAAGAAAATATTGAACTGCATATGCTTGTTGCTGAGTCATTGATTGCATATATCTTTCTGAAGTCAAGCTTCTTCAAAAACTGGAAAGATACTGTTTGCTGAGACTTATGTGTATTCTAAGCTTGACACTTAAAACCTGCATATCAAAATCTGGTCTTTCCTGACAGTTGCAGATTCTCCATCTTCTTCATTTTCTCCCATAGTTACCTACAGCATTCAGATAACAATTAGAAAAATATTAGGAAAGCATTTCCTAGAACCCTTGGAATCACCCCTTGGTGACTCAACTACCTCCCTGGGGACTCTATTCCAATGGTTAACAACTCTTTCTGTAAAGAAATTTTCTCTGGTATCCAACCTAAACTTACCCTGGAGCAACTTGTTCATCCACTTCCTCACAACCAGTGGTGAGCAAAGAGCTCCTTGTTTCCTTAGATCATCAACTGAAGTTGAAGTGAATTGAAACAGGGAATAAGAACTGCACTTTCCTCCTAAATGATGCAATGTTACAGAACACTGAATGGTCACTGCCTTCCATCTTGGAGACACATGTATTCTACTGTCCTCTATCAGATCTTGAATCATCCCACCTCAAAACATTTTGGGTCACTGTGTTTAAAGCCATAAATGCGCTTATCTTTCAAGCCCCCACTTAGAGTTCTATCAGCTGTAGTTCATCTGTCCTGCAACAAAGCATGCAGTTTGCCTCCCACTTGCTGTCTCTGTGGGTAAGCCAATGGAGCTGTGTGATCAAAACCCTCCTTTATCCTTTGCAAGAAGAAGTGTTCTGCCCTAGTCTAAGTGACAAAGTCAAGCAGAGAGATTACTGCCAGTTCAGGTTCTGGTGACATTTAGTACCAATGGCTGGACTCTGCACTGCCAACAAAGCAAAATGGGATTTCTGCAGGTCTCGCATACATGACACAGAGAGGCAAGCAAAACTCTCTGATTCTTTTCGTCTAATTTTTCTTCACTAGGAGAAAGTTGCATTGAAGTAAACAAACAAAAGGGCTATTCACATTTAACATTGCTTCTCCCCTTCTCCCACAGATAACAAAGTGCATCTAAATGGCTTCTACTATGGCCTTAGCAAACTAATGATGAAAAGGAGGAGACTGTGGGATTATTTGTTTCATCTTCCCTGGATGATGGACGGAGAGATATTCACTGCCACTTTGGTGCCATCTGGGAACGTGACACCAGATTCTAGCATGACCCTGGAACAGAAAACAACCTTTGCCTTTGTGATTTTATTATTTATTTTCTTGGGAATCCTCATCATCCGCTGCTTCCGAATTCTCCTTGACCCCTACCGGAGTATGCCAACCTCAACCTGGGCTGATGGACTTGATGGGCTGGAGAAAGGCCAGTTTGATTACACTCTTGCTTAGAGACTGAGAATTATGGAGGGTTATTTAGCACAGCGTTAACAAAATACAATTTCTGGAATGTCTTGTTTGTTTTGCTTTTGTGTTTCATTATGTCAAATGTTAGGAATTACAACATACAAACGTGCACAAAAAATGGATTTATTTTTTTAAAATTAAATCTCAAAGGAATTTAACTTTTTGAAAGTACAGTGTGTAGTATATGTGATCTCATATAACTGAAGCAAGTGTTTTATCATTATGTATTATCATTAACAAAATGCTGTGGTGTCAGGTGTCTTACAAATGCTGTAAAAATGTGATTTTATGATCTATATATAGTAAATAAACTTTACTTTCCATCCTCTGAGAACAAATTCGGAAGTTTTCTGTTCTGTAATTTGAATTTGAGAAAATTCAAAGGAGAAAACAGGAGAAAAATACCTCCATGGTTTCTCAGGTTGTTTCCTAGAATTGATCATTGATTGTGCTACTTAGTACTACCAAATCACGGACTTTGTAATCTTTGTTGTGAACAAAATATGTAATGATTTTGACCGATGTATTGCCTTTTTTGCCAAAACTGATTTCTACTAAGATAGGTTTTTGAATTGATCTTACAGCAGCTTATGCAAACAAATTTCAGACTGTGTATTTCAAGTACTCACTCATCCTGCTTATTTGGTATGTGTGGGTCACATTGCATTGTTTGTGTTTCCTAACTGGATGACTGAAACGCCAGCAGTAAGAATCAATGAAAATGCACCCCCTTCACTCAAAAAGTACAATGTGTGTTTGTACAATGGCAAAACATTCCTAGAAGTCTCTGTAAGTAAAAACATATATACATGATTGATTAGGGAAAGAAATACGAGGAAGACTGCATGAAATTTAGTGGAACAGTTTACACTCCACGTGGAGGTTTGCAAGCGCTGTTCAGCAGTACTGAAATACTACAGTGGTAACAACATCTGATGTACTGCCAGGAGGAAAAGGCCATGCTCCCAAATACACCAGTGTTGTAAAACACCCCTGGTGCTGCCCAGATTGTGAAAAATTTTGTGCAGGGAGGATGGGAAGCAGCATGCTGCCTGTTTTAAGACAAAGCCTTAGATATAGCTGTATTACACTCACTGTAACAATGACAAGCCATTGGGAAGTTCTCCCTTTGTGCTTTGGCATGCAGCCTGTGAGCAAAGCCAGCCTGTAGCTGGTACAGCTGGGGCTGTGCTGACTCATTTGCGCTATGGCCCTGCCTCTAGCTGTTACACTTGGAGCTATTTGTTTCCCTTTGCTTCTCATCCTGTCCATTGGCTAAAGGTTGCAATTATTTGTGGCAGAGATAGTGGGATGGGAGGTGGCTCTGCACAGTGGCTAACACAGTGCCCTCACAGGAGGGCAGCAAGAGCTCAGCTTCGTGATGGTTTCAAAGAAAGAGGAGGGACTACGATCTGTGGCTGCTAACACACAAGCACAGCTCTGTTACAGAGGCAGTAACCTATGATATGGTTGGGCAGAAGGGGACAGTGATGCAGCCACACTCTCCAGAAGCCATGGGGTGCTGGCAGTCACTGCTTCTCCACCAGTACCAGGGCACCTAGGTCAGAGGCAATGCAAACTTGCAGATTGTTAACTAAAGGCAATGACAGAGTGGCATACAAAAAATGTTCCTGTTATGCCAATACCCCCTAAAGCAATGTGTTTTCAATATTTATGAATCCGCAGTAACAGCTCCCTCTGGCTTGGGATTTCTCTCCTGTATCAGGGTCTACTTTTCTTTTTATTTTTTTAAACCCAATAAATTTGAATTTACTTTAAAAGAAGAAGACTATTCCTCACCATTACACTGTTGTGGTATAACCCAGCAACAGCTCAACACGCAGACATTCACTCCCCACCGCTTGCAGGGGAATGAGGGAGAGAATGGGGAAAATAATGTAAAAACCATAGGTTGAGATAGGAACTGTTTACTATCACAGAAAAGGAAGAGAGAAATAGTAGTAATGATAATAATAATATATATTTATACATATTGACAAAGCACAGCACAGTTGCTCACCACACACTGACCAATGCCAGCCAGTCCCCACGCAGTGGCCGCCCCCCACAGCCAACTCCCCTCAGCGTTACAGCTTTTCCACAGGACGCCATATGGCATGGAACATCCCTGTGGCCATTTGGGCCAGCTGTCCTGCTTCTGTCTCCTCCCAGCTCCCCGTGTCCTCTCAGCCCCTCTCTGCAGACGATATGAGAAAGCGGAACAGCCTTGGCTCTGTGCATCACTGCTCAGTGACAGCTGAAAGAAACATCACTGTGCTGTCAGCACCATCTTTCTCCTGAAGCCAAAACACAGCATCGTACCAGACTCGATGAAGAAAACCAACTCTGCCCTAACTGAAACCAAGACAGACACCTGGAGAGGGAGGTGAGGTCTCTGACAAAAAAACGTAGCCCCATGTTGAAGTGAGGCAATTTGACTCTTGTGTGGAGCTTGGAAGCTGTTAGCTGAGGACTATTTTTGGAACTGAGCTTGCCAGCATCTGTGGTATGTTTGGAAGAATTCCAAAGAGATATTTTTGTAAATCACTGGCATAAGTCAGTCTGTTAAAGGGAATTTAATACTGCTGGGCAGTCACTTTAAGTCAGTCTGTGGATGTCACTAAATTCACTGCAGCAGTGAAAGGAAATTCACACCAGTTCCCCCACCGCAGCAGGGAATTTTTCCTTAGCACTCTCAAAGTCTAGCAGAAGTTTTCTGAAGACATGCTAGCACTTCAGTCTCGTGATTGCTCATTTTTCCTTTCCCTGGAGAAACTGGACCAGACTTTGAATGGAAATATGAGTACTATTCCTCTCTATGAGGCTGTCTCTGGCACATCGCTGGGCCTCATAAGAATAAGTGTTCACTGTGGAATGATCTGAAATATTAATGAGACTGGAAAGAGAGGATCTGTGTGCTAATGCAGCTGTGCTCAGGCAGCTCTGCAGCTCTGCATCACTCTGCTATAGGCTCTTGTTTATTACATTGGTTTTCGTAGAAAATCCTATGCAATTTTTAAAAACTTTTTTCAGAATGAGCATTTCTCAATGTCAGTCAAGCAAATATAATTATGTACTGTGGACAAAGAAGTAATGTTTGTATATTTTTATAAATACCACATTCATATTAGCTTGTTCAACAAACTATCCAACTGTAAGCATTTTAAATTGAAGGACTGCTGCAGAGAAAGATAGCCAGATAAGGGCAGAGATAAGACTTTACTGGTAGACACCAGGTTTTACTCCAACCAAGAGTTTAAGATTTTTATACCTCAGACAGGAGGCATAAAGGAAACTGCTGGCCCACACGGTTTGCTGAGGTGGAAGTCTATCCTCAGCAATGTGTACGGGGTATGTGTGTGAAAACAGCACTGGTGCTGTTTCTCCCCTGCAGCTGGAGGTTTGGGTGAAGCTGGTATGCATTTGAGCTACCTTAAAAGTAACCACAGAAAGCCACATCTCTCTGCACTTTGTAAGAGCTGTGCAGAGGTTACCGCTGTGAACTTACGTGCTGCACCCACACAAAAATATATCTGATACTGATGTGCAGCTAGCAGAATCAGCTCCCTTTACAATGGTAGGTAAAGATGCATGACCAGTGATCACCTGTTGATTCTCCATCTCCACTCCATTCCCTTGAAACCTTAGCTGGAGTACTGTGTCCAGGCCTGGGGCCCCCAGCAGAAGGTGTGAAACTGTTGGAACAGGTGCAGAGGAGACCATGAAGATGCTCAGAAGGTTGGAGCACCTCTCCCGTGGAGGAAGGCTGAGGGAACTGGGCTTGTTTGCCTGGAGAAGAGAAGATTTTGGGGAGACCTCACTGCAGCTTTTCAGTATTTAAAAGGGAGTTTATAAACAGATGGAGACTGATTTTTTTATTATCTGATTCTGCGTATTTGAGGTACTTGAGCTACACATGCAAGCAGCAGTCTCATGGAACACTCCAAGATATCTAATTCATTGATATAAAGTGTTCTATAGACCACTCTGTGGGAATATACACTCAGTTTGGTGCAAAGATCAAGTCTATGTCAGTGGTCACCAAGAAGAAGCCCATATACCGCAAAGAGAAAAGGAAAGAAGCCAAAATTCTTTAATTTACAGCATGACAGCTTCTGTGGCCATGATCAGAAATGTTTCCAATACAAAATCTCATTTTTTTTTCCACCCTGGTTTATTGAAATATATTTAGTTTGTAAATAGCTTCAAATGTCTATTCATACTGTTCCATCTTGCATGAAAACAAAGCTATTCTATTCCTGCAATTTATATTCTATTTTCATAGCTTCTGCAGTTCTACAGAATTTCAGAATTATCTTCTGCAGCAATATTTTGGAGTGTTTATTTATTTATTTTTTTAATATATAGATTTATTTTTGTAGCACTGATATTTCAGGTTGCCATGGCTCCTGTTTTTGTGTCAGTGCCATGATAGAAGCAGCTGACACTTCTCTGCAATTTTTCTTCCTCCCCTCTTGGCACATTGACTAATCAATACCAATTATTCCCCAGAGTCTGCATTGTTGTCTGCATGCTTTAGCAGGGGCAGCAAGGTGTGAAAAGTTAAGGACTTTTCAAAGCAGAGACAAAAATCACCACTGGTGCTAAGACAGGATCTATGAAGTGTGGGGCTTCTTATGTTGAAGTCACTGCCCCCAATCAGCAGGACAGAAGGAAGTTTATGTTTTATTAGTGGGAGAACAAATGCTGCTGCAGTTGCCCACATCTGTTATTTAGGCTACTGCAAGAGCACCAAAGGAGCCGAGATGGAGAATTTGGTGCAGTGTTGGTGTCCTGGCATCCTGATAACCAATTCCTATAATTCTGTATTATGGATTTGATTTTCAATGACATTCTCCACTTTCAATAATCAGTTTAAAATTTTATCCAGTTTCTTTAGATTGGTATTAAATGTTTAACTACAGAGAAGTGATATTGAGAATTAGTTGCTAACTGAGCAGACAACTGCTGTGCACACAATTAAACCATGGCAAAGAAATCCAGATCTGTTCCACTTGGGCAAAGAATGACAAAGGCTGGAGTAGGACCATTACATTTTAGAGCAGGGTATGTTTAATTGCCCCCACTCTGAGACAGCAGAAAGATTTGCACATGATAGTTCCTAATCTTTGTAATTCCATGATTGATTCCGGCGATCACTTCAGATTCCAGTGCAAATCAAAGCAGATGTACAGAACCTTGTCTATTAATCACCAAAGAACAGAAATAAAATACAACACTGTACTTGCCCGTTGTGCAAAATGAGATGTCTCCTCTGTTTATCATTTGGATTTCTCAGCATCAAGGACTGTTTTAT